ACAAGCCACAAAATCATTATGACATCATAAAGTGGCCAAAATCTGATCAGCTCCTTTTCAAACAGGTTTTTATAGAAATGGATCAGGACAAAAAGAGAGAGAATCTTTTTTCCTGAGACTTTCAGAATCTCTTTCCACAGAGGGGACACATGTTGATGTAGAAGAGACATGAACAAGTGGATTTTGCATAATAGGTGACCTTAGACTCCTTTGTTTACTCCTGTAGCATAATGACATCACTATGTAACACTGGTGCTTCAATTGGCTAGCGCTCCAACACATTGTACGTGATAGGCTAAGTGCCGGGACATCTCTAAGCGGTGGACCAATCACAACAGAGCCTTCCAGCTAACCAATCCGAGCAGACTGGGCTCTGGTTTCAGACAGAGGGTGAAAAGAGGTGCTGCAGCACAGGCAGTATGAGAAAAATAAAGAGCTTTTTGAACATTAAAGCATGGAGACATGTCACAGTAGAGACACAAAACACAAATATCAACCGGAAAATTAGCATATGAGGGCCTCTTTTATACTTAAGCAATAGCTCACGACAGGCCATGGTATATGCTCATTATATCACAGCTAAGGGGCGTGGTTTTCAGCCCAACTGTATACTGTTTGTCTCAGGCGCGGAGGGATACTGACTTGTTGTGAAAAGTAACTTACAATTCTACCCGTGGTATACGCTCAGTATATCACGGCTAAGAACCAATCAGATTGCTTGATTTGACTTGTCCGTTTTATAATAAAGTATTATACTTAAGTTAAAGTAACAACACTAACTTGTTAAAATACTCTGTTACAAGTTAAAGTCCTACATTAAAAAATACTGGCCCATTGAGAGATTACATTTCTGGATTATAATGTTCTATGCATGAATGTCACAGATAGGAAAAGTGGAGCTCATTTGAATAACTTATTATATACTGCTGCTAGATATCTAAACGCATAATTATTTGTCAAAATGTATGTATCGATTTATATTTTGTGTTAGCTAATAATCTGAATCAGTTAGTTATTTTAGACTGTCAATAGGAAGTGGGAGTAAAAAGGACAATACTTGCTTTTCAAATGTATGGAGTAAACGTATAAAAGGTAAATACGAGTCTAAGACTAAGTTCAGAGTACATGAATTCACTGAATTCCACCACTGGACATTATACTGTATATATTTGATATATTATTCATATTTCAGCACTTACCCCTCTCACAAAAGTTATTTATACAGATGCTGTTTCTGCCTTTTATCTTCCTTTTCCAATATCTCTTGCATGTCCGTAGGGTTCGTTTTGAGAGGAGACAGTGAAGATAACTTCCCCAAATATTAAAGTGGAGATGGGAAAAAGTTAAGGACATTCCCCAGAGCTGAAGTAGCAATGTTTTGCCCAAAACTGGAAAGAAAAACCTACAGTCCAGGGCAATGGATGTTCTCATATTTTAATCCTCTTTCTTTACCAATTTGTCTTTTCCTTTTCTTTGACTGTTCCTTTTCTCTTCCAGCACTTTCATTTTAAAGCTCCGCCCCCCCCCCNCTCCCCCCTTGTTCTCCACTCAACTTGCCTTTTTAGATGCAAGAATATTTTTTTTAAAACTTCTATTTAATTTGTAGGTTTAACAGGATAATAATAAAAGGGGTTTTATGAGTTTGCGCCAACTGCCCTTAAGGCTGTTGCTCCTAATGGACAACTGGAGGTACAGTGAAAGCAGCAGATTAAAGGAATCGTTGTACTCCCCTCAGAAGAAGCAATTTACTCTCATTCATTCCTTTGAAAAACAACCTCCAGGTGGCGGCAAGATTGGTTTCATTTTATTTTCATCATACTCTAGTTAAGTTGTTCCAACTCAGTACTGCTAGACATTAAAGGCAAACATAAAGAACAATGTACAGACTTAAATCAATAAAAAAGACCAACTCAATCTTCACTGACCCTGCTGCCCTTACTCTGAATTTGTTTTATTTTCCTTTGACTGTGTTTGGGATGTTTCAGTGCCCTTTCAGTCGCTCTGCCTCGGGCTCCAGCTGTAACCTCTGTTCTGCTCTGGCTGAGAGCAGTTTGCTCTCAATCATTCTTTTGAAAAACAACTTCCAAGTGGCGGCAAGATCGGTACTGTTTAATTTGACATACTCTAGTCTAGTCAAATGGTTCCAGTTCAGTACTGCCAAAGGCAATATGAGTGGGATATTCTTAAAGAACAATGTATTGAGTACAATACAAAAAGAAACACTCAATCATCACTTATTACCAACAAGAAGTGTGTGGCCCTGATTACCCTGACTTTGTTTGACCTTCATTTGACTGTGTTTGGGATGATTTGGGATGTTTCAGTGCCCTCTTGCTCTGCCTCGGACTCCAGCTGTAACCAACCTCTGTTCTGGAGGCGTGTGGTGCAGTGGGTTGAGCGTTGGTGTTCAGATCAGGGGGTCACAGGTTCAAACCCCACTGCAGTCAGCATGTCGTTGTGTCCCTGGGCAAGACACTTCACCCCAAATTGCTCCTGTGGGGATTGTCCACAGTATTGAGTATGGAAGTCACTTTGGATACAAGCATCTAACAAGTGACATGTAATGTTCTACTCTTATCGTCTGAGTACAAAAAGCTTGGAAAGCCCCTGTAAAATGTCTGTCTGGACAAAAATGCTATAGCTATTAGCTATAGCTAGACTCAAGGTGGCTAAACTCACTGGCTAGTGTAGCCTACCACAGGGGAAATTCAACTTTGAGTGTTGTTGAGTCACTATGGCATTGTGCCTTTACAATAACGTTTTTAATAAAGGACATTAGTGTCCAAGCCAATGGACAATTCCTCAATAGCATGTGGGCTAAAAACATTGTTGCTCACACACACACACACACACACACACACTGTCAATTAAAGTAATATCAGTAAAGCGTAGAACAGACATTAATATTGTTGCCCATCTTCTCATTGGTTCGTCCATAAAGGGTGATAAATCTTACTTCTTATAGTTTCACACATTTGTAAGTTTAATTACAGGTACAAATCAATGTCTGCTTCCTGATGTTTCTTTGTCAAGGTTGTGTTTACTTTGGGCTCAGCCAAATATGACACCTACAGTAGAAGACAAGTACTTTATCCTCTCTTGCATTTGCATTTGTTCAATGTCACAATTGTACAAAGCTTAGGCAATACTGAATGTCATTATGGTCATGCTAATAAAGCTATTTGAATTGAATTGAAATGTAACACACCAGTCCAACCCAATTATAGACATTCATGACAGATAAACAAGCTGGAAGGGAAGGAGGAAATCAACAAATGGTAGAAAAGAAGTGTGTGTGATGTAATGACGGGAGTTTGCTCGGTAACAAGACACAACGAGGAGAACACAGCTGCGATGATAACGTTTTGATCCATCACTCACACACTGACACACACAACAAACAGAAAGCCTCACACACCTTCACTTCCTGACACTTTCCCCTCACACATAACATACTAGGTCATTTATTCTGTCTCTCCCTTTGCGTTTCTTTTACATTTCCCACAGAGGGGAAAGTGTGGGACGCTCGGGGATCAGACGTGTCCACCGAGGTAACAACGCCAATCTGTAAACTCTTCACTTCCAGGATTTGCAATACCTGCTTAAAGCATATCTCCTCACGTGTGTGTGACTCTTCATCAGAGGTGGGAAGTAGTGGAGTACAAATACTTTGTTACTGTACTTAAAGATGGGGTAGGTCATTTTGGAGAAACCAGCGAGTGAGCTTTTTACGGATTCCACAGATGACATTTTTTCATGTATTTATTCTCAAAGCATTTCATGTATTCATTGCTATCAGGATGTTCAGAGCATTCCATGGAATATAACAAAAAGTATTTCTGAAATAAATGACATACCCCACCTTTAAGTACATTTTTCTGGTATCAGTACTTTACACCACTACTTATTTTTCTGACGACTTTTTACTTTGACTTCTCACATGTTGAACTCAAATACCTGTACTTTCTACTTCTTACATGTTGAACTCAAATACCTGTACTTTCTACTTCTTACATGTTGAACACAAATACCTGTACTTTCTACTTCTTACATGTTGAACTCAAATACCTGTACTTTCTACTTCTTACATGTTGAACACAAATACCTGTACTTTCTACTTCTCACATTTTCCAAACAGGCTGGTTCCTTTAGTCTGAATGTGTGTTTGGTGGCGTGATCATTATTATTTAGAGTCATTGCGTGCCTATTGATTTGAACACGATCCGTGTATCCATCATTTCCTGGTCTTCTCTAAAGAAGAGGGACCAATGAAAACGTTGTCATGTTGCCGTTGTTCAGCATGGAAACATTCATGAGCTAACAATGCCATTATTGTTATATTAATATAAAGGGAGGTCAGGTACTCTTTAAAACAGCTGAGTTATGGGTACTTTTTTACTTAATTACATTTCAAAGCCTCTTTACTTTCAATTGGGTAAAGAAGTTCAGTCAGTACTTGTACTTTTACCAGAGTATTTTTAAACACGAGTATCTGTACTTCTACTTGAGTAAAGGATGTGTGCACTTTTGCTTAAATACTTGCTCAAAGCGTGGTGGATGAAGAGGATGTTTGAAGGGCTCGCTTTTGCATGATCTTAAAATATGAGGAAAGTAGTTTTTGAAGAAACTTGCTAAATGTAAATTGATAATTCAACATTTTGGAGAAACATTAGCCAATAATTAGCCCTTAGCTTTGCACAAAGACAAGGGGGAAAAGTACCTTCGAATGCGAGGAAAGAAGTGTATATTGTATGGTAAGAAGTATCTCAAGGTTTCTAAGCAACTTGCAGAGTTCTAATTCAACATTTTGAGAAAAATGTGCAAATAGTTAGCCATTAGCTTAGCACAAAGACAAGAAGACATGCGGAAAAAGTAGCCTGGCTCTGTCCAAAGTTATTCAAGTAAATGTGATCTGTTCGTATCAGACTTGTGGCCACCTTTGCATCATCAATACACAATAAGACAAGACAATTTTGAGTTAATATACAAACTAAATTAAGAAAAATAAATATTATAACACATTTTTTAAGTGTTTCCTTTGCAAGATCAGTAAATATGAGGAAAATCGTTTATCTTTGACTTAAAGTATGTAAAAAGGTTTTAAGCAATTTGCTCAATTTAAAGGAATCAAAGTCAACTTTATTGTCAATCTTTCAGTTTGTGTGTACAGACAGAGAGATCGAAATGCCGTTTCCCACAATCCCGGATACAAAAATACGTCTAAAGATATGTATATCCTATATATACACCATCAACACACACATTTATATATATGCACACATTAGAATAGATCCACATTAGCCATTAGCTTAGCACAAAGACAGAAAGACATGGGGAAAAAACGTCCTCTGGCTTTGTTCAAAGTTTCAAAAGCATCCTGAGGTGAAATACTTTTTCAAAAGCGTGACGAATGGCAGATGCCATGGAAGGTAATGAAACGTGGATTTGATCTGAATTGACCTCAGTGTGCCAAGGAGGGGATTGGTTTTAGCGATAAAGGCCGTGTGAGGTCACACCAGCTGACACGCTGGCTGGCCGGTTCCCAAACTCTCAAGCGGATTCTCACACCGGAGAGCGGCTCTGTGTGTTTTACTAAACCTCGGGCTTTGCAGGAAACCGGTCCAAGATTTTGGGGAGCTGTTAATATCCTCAGGGCGTGATCAGAGTTATCTAAGGTCACTAAATGAGCTTTTACTTACAGGTGTATGAGAGAGAAATGGGATGTTAAACAAAGTAAAAAAAAACTACAGGGAATAGTGAAATGCGTAATTATCCATTCAAAATTGAAGTTACTTCTTTGACTGATTTTTTCTTTTACAGAGGAAGTCTGTTTTTTCTGCATTTGTTTGGTGTATAAGATTTTACATGGACAACATTGATTAAATCATGATTAATTGCCTAAATGTGGCCTTTGTGGATCCATTATATAGACTTATTGCTGCATTTTTCTACTAAATCTTGCTCAAAACTGCATTCAAAATTATATATGGTAAAAAAATAGTAATCTTAAAACGTTTACATACAAAATACAAATATTTTTTGTCCTTCTTAGATATGTATTTAATTGGTTGTCTCTCATTTCGTTTACTTTTTAAATGCTCATATTTTATGCATAAATCTTGTTACTTTTGAATATTTTTGTGGATCATATTGGATTTATATTTTCTATGAATTATGATTAATGAAAGCGAGAAATGTAAAAGCGGTATTTCTGATGCAATTATGTGTAAGCTGCTGTTATTTATTTTTATTTCAGGGTAATGGCTCGTATATTTCGTACCTGAAGGTCTGATATCTTTTTTTAAAACCTAAAGCCTGACCCCAGACCTGTCTGCTCACAGCTACAGGGGGAAGACTCCGGGGGCTCTTTGGTTCGTCTGCAGGTCTGGGATCAGCTTTCTACGTCAAAAGAATAGCTGTAAACCCTAACAACAGACTCCAGATCAGCCCTGAAGTCACCGCCTTATTTATAACTTCAGTAAAACTTTCTGCAACGTGATTGGTGGCAGCTATTTACGCAAAAGCACCAATACCCTCCACCGATTGGCTGACACAGCTGTCATGTAACGTCAATCAAACTGACGGACCAATCAGAGCCCGTGTTTTCGTCTTTGTTCCTCCCGTTTGGAGTGTGACGCAGAGGGTCATGTGTTGACGCAAAAGCTCTAATATCCCACAGCGATTGGTTGCCGCAGCCTTCATGGAACGTCAATCAAACTGACAGACCAATCAGAAGCCGTGTTTGGGTCTTTGTTCCTCCCGTTTGCTGCGTGACGCGGAGGGTCATGTGTTGTTTGTGCTCTCGCCCGTAGAGATGTGTTAAGGAGGAGAAGGGAACGGATTGCTAACCCGAGCTAGCCGGATCCCTCCCGATTATAGAAAACACGGCAGTGCGTGGCCATGCACACACGGCAGGATTAAATCCGTGAGAAAAAAGCACGCTTTGGAATACAAAAAAAGGGACGAGAGGACTACTTTTCTTGCGGAATAACAAAGCCGGTGTGGATTTTGCATTAAAAAAATCTGAGCCAGCTGGCCTAGCCGGACTCTGGGAGCTCGTCTCCCAAAAACAACAAGAATGGGGTCTAGCTCCACTCCGAATAGCTAGTAAAGAGTGACCTTTAATTGCAGAATGGCAAATTTCACGAATTACCAGGAGGGTAAAGCAGTGATGTTGATGGTGGAGGCGCACGGTACAAATGGAGACGGATCGGTCGGGGAACCCCCTTCCCAGTTAATTAATATCGGAAGCGGTGCTGGTGGTAGTTCTCGCTTGCATCAACATCTACCGCCCTCCAACCACCACAATCAGTACCAGCTGGCCCCACAGCAGCAGCATCTTTCCGGGGAAAACATTGCAGAGTCTCCAGGCTGCAGGAAAGCCTCTTCTTCTTCCAACGCGGAGGAATCTGCCGCTTCGCCCGCCGTTAGCGGCAGCCATGTCTACGCGGCGGTGAGCGTTAATAACACCTCCGATGTTGTGGATGATATTCGCAAATGTGGCTATTTAAGGAAGCAGAAACATGGACATAAGAGGTTTTTTGTGCTCAGGGCTGCCAGTCACCTCGGTCCGAGCCGCTTGGAGTATTATGACAGCGAGAAGAAATTCAGGAGCAGCCTGCGCTCTGCTGCCGCTGCTGCTGCCGCGTCTGCTGCAAGCGGTGGAGTTGTGGCCGCTTCTCCCCCGAAAAGGGTTATTTACCTCTACCAGTGCTTCACGGTGAACAAAAGGGCGGATTCCAAAAACAAACACCTCATTGCGCTTTACACTAAGGATGAATATTTTGCCATTGTGGCGGAAAACGAGCTGGAGCAGGAGGACTGGTACGTGGCTGTCAGTGAGTTGATGTGTGAGGGCAAAAAAGGGCATGTGGATTCAGATGATTTAGATGATGGATATGGTACTGTCACCCCTGGTACTGTGTTTAAAGAGGTGTGGCAGGTGAATGTGAAACCTAAAGGACTGGGTCAAACTAAAAACCTCACAGGTGTTTACCGGCTATGCCTCTCAACGAAAACGGTTCACCTGGTAAAGTTGAACTCTGAAACCCCCTGTGTTAACCTCCAGTTGATGAATATCAGACGCTGTGGACATTCAGAAAGTTTCTTTTTCATTGAGGTGGGTCGCTCCTCCTCTATCGGGCCCGGGGAGATATGGATGCAGGTGGATGATTCTGTAGTGGCCCAAAACATGCATGAAACCATCTTGGAGACGATGAAAGCCCTGAAAGCTTTTGCAGAGTTTCGGCCCAGGAGTAAGAGCCAATCATCCGGCTCCAACCCGATGCCCTTCATCACAACGCGGCGCCACCTTGGAAACCTGCCTCCGAGCCAGACGGGACTCCAGCGGCGGTCGAGAACAGAGTCAGTCGTCGGCACGCCACCGTCGAGTAAAAGCTCCGGGGCGAGTGGTTATCGCTTCCGAACATCCAGTGAGGGCGAGGGGACGATGAACCGGCCGTTTCGCTCCGCCACAGGAAGTTTGGTTCACCTCAACTCTGCACGGGCCCATCATTGTCGTCAGGAAGGCGCCGGCAGCAGTGGTGTCGCTACAGGAAATGCTGGTACGAGCACAGGAAGTGGACGCTACGTCAGAGCCATCCAGGGGTCGTCGTCCGCTTATCATGCCCGCTCCGCCTCACTCCCAGTCTCCCACTTCCCCTCCACCACCAGCCCAGTTAGCGTATCCTCCAGTAGCGGCCATGGCTCCGTTTCCGACACACTAACCCGCCCGTCGAGCGCCTCAATATGCGGCTCTCCATCCGATGGAGGCTTCAACTCATCGGATGAATACGGATCCAGTCCCGGCGACTTTAGGTACTTCCGGGTACGGAGCAACACGCCAGACTCCCTCGGAAACACGCCGCCAATCAGAGAAGAGAACTGTCTAAACGACTACATGGCGATGGGCTGGAACCGGGAAGTGTTCGGCACCAGCTCTGGAAACAACAGCGGAGGAGACACGCCACGAGACGAAAACACGTCGACGACGGAAGAGGACCGCTTTTCTTCATCGTCGCTGAGGAGGAGGACGCACTCGTTCTCCAGAGCGGCTGCTGCTGCTGCTGCTGGCGGCAGTGGAGCGACCGGTGGTTCTGGGGTAGCAGTTTACCAGAAAATGACCCAGACCAACTTCTCATTGGATGAAGGGTCGGATATCGTGTTACCGTTTGGCAGTGGGTTGCTTCGTGGCGGGCCTTCTTCCTCTTCCTCATCGCTACGATCCGACTACAGCTCCTGCTCCGAGCACAGCCAGCCGAGCCGACCCTCCACCCTCTCCCGTACCGAAACCAGCTCTGATCGCCCTCCTCCATCTTCCTCTTCCTCTGCTAAAGAAGACAGCGGCTACATGCCTATGATGTGTGGCGTGGCTTCATCGTCGCAAGACACTCCCCCTGACTACATGCCTATGCAACCCGGCTCTTACCCCCACCCCGTCTCTAATTCCCCGCAGTTTCACAGTCCAGCTTTAGGTCACCGTTCAGCCCACCAGCTCCAGCCCCAAGACTCCCACGGCTACATGATGATGCTCCCAGGGGGCGGAGGCTCTCCTTCCCCAGGACATCCGGCCTCCCCCAGCCCTCACAGTAGCTCCAGCATGCCCGATGGGAGTGACAGCATAGCAGAGAGACCAGAAAATGGAGAATATATGGACATGTCGTACTGCAGCGGTGGGTCACGAAAGCCCCCGAATGAAGGGAACGGTGGGTATTATACACCTGGTACACCTGAGGGCACCCCAAAGTCTTACAGCCCTTATTTCTCCCTCCCTCGCTCCTACAAAGCCCCCACCAGAGAGAGAGATGAGAAGGAATATGGGGAGTATGTTCCCATGAGTTCTCCTGCCAAGCCAGTTTTTTCATCCATTGCCACAGCTTCCATGTCAACACCAGAGAAAAGGGCTGGGGGAGGCAGTAGCGGCAATTTAACCCCTTCACACCCACCCCCGCCTTACGGTGCTCACCACACGACCGCAGCGATGGGCGACAGACGCGCCGAGAGGCCGAACCGCCTTCCTTTGGGCCGAAGAAGTTTCCACGGTCCACTGCGGGTTAGTGAGCCCCCCACGGCGTCTTCAGGCACCTCAACATCTGTCCCCGCCACCGTCAGCTCCTCCGAAAGACCCTCAAGTCCCGGAGAGTATATTAACATTGAGTTTGGCGATCACTATCCTCACCAACAACAGCCCCCCGATTATCCCCACGCTGTCCAAGACGAAGCGCCTTCTTCAAGTGACCGCCGCTCCTCCCCTCACCAGGATTATATGAGTGTGGAGGTGGGGGCAGATCAGCAGGACGCCTCTGGATGTAAAAAACAATCACCCAGACCCAGTCTAGTCGCCCCCTGGAACCCACCGAGCTACATCCGACCGCTGGCTACCAATCCTGGGGCCTCTCCTGGAGCCGGAGATCACTGGAGGTCGAAGGGCGACGACTACACGGACATGACGTTCAGCAGAGGGGAGAGGACTCAAAGCAGTCCGACAGCCATGCTGCAGCATCTCTGTGTGATAGAGGGACGTTACGGCCACCCTCCCCCCTCCTCTTCCTCACCCCCTCTCCTTCCTCTCACCCCTTCGAGCCCAGGAAGGGTGCAGACACAACAGCTGGAGCCCAAGGTGGTTCGAGCCGACCCGCAAGGCCGACGGAGACACAGTTCAGAGACTTTCTCCTCCACATCTTCCTCTAATTCAACTCCGTCTGGACTTGTACCCTCAGCAAACCCCCCAACAGTGGCCAACCCCACAGCCCCTTACCTAGCGGAGGGTCAGACTTCCAGGTGGACCAGCTCGGCGTCTTTCGACAGCATGTGGGTGTCCATGGAGGGTCTCGGCGGGGAGTCACCGGTTCACCATGCTCCTGTAAGATCCATGGAAATGGGTGCAGCATCTGCATCATCATCATCCTCTGGAGGCGGCAGGATGTGCAGGAACATGTCTGTGGGATACCAGAACGGCCTGAACTACATCGCCTTGGAGCTGCGGGAGGACGGGAGTAACGCGGGAGTAACGTCTGGAGCCGGGAGCAGCAACGGGGTTTTGGCGTCGACGCCGGGGACGGTGCCGACGCCGGAGAACGGAGCCTACGCCAGCATAGACTTCACCAAATCAGACGGGGTCACGACGACAACGAAGGGTGAGTATACAAGTGTGTGTTTGGGTCTAAAGATGCTGCATTGTGGGTCCTTTGACAGCCGTTAGTCACATTTTTATAATAACTTTATTTATGTTGCAACTTTCATGCAAGATGCAGCCCGTAAAGTGCTTTGCAGAAGAAGAGAAGATACATACAAACAATAACAATGAGTGCAAATAACGAGTAAGAAACATATTTTGAAATGAGTTATGAAAACAAAACAGAAAAATCACAAAACCCCAAATTAAATAACTAATTTACATTCCAAGGGAGATTGCTGTTCTAAAATCCAAAAGGTTATTCTCTCCTTTCATAATTGTATATCTAGGATATACAATCTACTGTGTGTGTGTGTGTGTGTGTGTGTGTGTGTGTGTGTGTGTGTGTGTGTGTGTGTGTGTGTGTGTGTATATTTTCCTCCCCTCCCTGAAATCTAAAATAACCCTAAGTACCGCATGCTATTATTAGTCGCATTTTATCTCGCGAATCTATTTTGGATGGAGTCCCTGTGATCTTGACAAGGCTACGTTCGAGCGCTTTGAGCAGCCAGAAGTTACTCTTTGAAGGCATCTATCCAGGGAGCTGAAAGTCTCGCCTGTAACAGGAAGTGGCACCAATATGTGGTTCACGTTGAGGTCTGTGTGTGTTGTGCAGTAGACAATTAGCTCGAGGTTCATCTGAGGTCAAGTGAGGACTGAATTTCCCCCCAAAAAAAGAGCCCGACTTCCTGTCTTTGTAGTGTTTCCTCTGTGCCTGTCTGAGCATGTGCCGCTGTTTTCTTTGTGTCGGCATGTTTGCAGAGTGTACTTAATGTGTGTGTGTGTTCACAGCCTTTTGTCTGCTGTTAAGGCTGTCACTTGAGACATCGTTAAAATATATATTTATTTCTCCAGAACAGGGATGAGTGCAGTAGCGGTTAGCATATTGGCAAACACATAAAACAGTGCTGTGATTGAATGAATCTTGACGGTGTTTACTTTTTGCGGTGTTGAGTAAACTCAGTAGGACATACGCTATGTGTATAATGTGCAAAGAAAACTTAAAATATTACATTTCGATCAAAGAAAAGCAGAGAATCCTCACAATAGGCACCCTGGTTACTTCACGTAGGTTTTGATTTGTTGTCACTGGTATCGAATATCACTTTTAATGAAATGTATATTGATAAAAGTACATTGTATTGAAATAACAGCTGTAGCTTGCATTGAGACGTGAGTTTGGTTTACTGCAGTCTTAAAAAGTGTGTGTGTGTGTGTGTGTGTGTGTGTGTGTGTGTGTGTGTGTGTGTGTAACATAGGTCTGCAGTCAGTGTTCGAGATCAAGAGGAATACAAGAGGATGTTTTGACTCAGTTTTCAGTCTTGCGTTTCCCCTTTTTCCTCGCCTCCTTTCCCATATCGTGTCCTCTCTTTTATACTCCCTGCTCTCCCCCTCCCATCCTCTCTGACTCTCGCTTCGTGTGTGTGTGCATGAGTCAGGATCCTCTGCAAACGCTGGCTGACTCATTTGTTTATCGTGGTGCGATGAAAGTGTGTGTGTGTGTGTGTGTGTGTGTGTGTGTGTGTGTGTGTGTGTGTGTGTGTGTGTGTGTGTGTGTGTGTGTGTGTGTGTGTGTGTGTGTGTGTGTGAAGAAATGTTAATCCACACACACTGTCTGCTTTTCTGTGTGTGTGTTGGACACATCTAGGTAGGTGTGTGTGTGTGTTTATACGCGCTGAGTCATGGCAGGCAGCCTTTGATGTGGCGCTGTAATTTCGGCGGCAGCGTGTCAAGGCACACAGTCGGGAGGAAACGCATCATCATCGCTCAGGAATGCACTTCCTGTCAGCTGCGATGCATGCACACCTGGATCCTTGACCCAGAGGAGAGAAAAGGGAGGTTTTCTGTCCAGCTGTCAAGAAAATTCAGCCGTAAATATGAGATAAAAGGTTCATTCAGCCGGGCTTTACGGGACTGGAGATGCCAGGGGGAGAACAATAATGGAGGAAATATTGTGACTTTCAGGAAGAAATAGCACTTTTGCGTTGAGTTGCGCTCCATTTGGAACAACATTGCTTATTTTGTTTAATAATGCAAATCAGTTTAGCAGGAATTGATAATCTGTGCATTGTTATTCTCATTATCCTTTTTGATTAAATATGTATTGAAGACACACAGAAAATACATTTGGTACATTGATAGGTTGGATTGAACCGTTCAAAGTGTTCAGCTTAGTCTCTACTATTGTACATCAATTATTCTCTTATCCTTGCATCACGTTACATTGATCTTGATTGTGTTTCATTTGAAAGAAGACCCTTACCAAACAGTCGGTAGAATACATCGCGTTGGTCTTGATTTCTCTGCAGCTCTACAATAGTTAATTACGAATATTATTTTTATAGTATCGTGCTTCCTGCGATTTGGATATTATATGAAATGAGTTGCGATTTTGATGCATTTTCTATCCCTAACAACAGGGTTTATGGTTCATTTGTTAACCTTGTTGTTATAAAGACAAGTAGTATTGCAACCAATCGTACTTTTAATAACTTCATTAATCTGTCTTTTGCAGACCATTGTAACTTTTTAGAGCCAAGAAAAACATGCAAAAACCTATGTTTGAGAAATTAAAACAAGACTATATTGTTGTGTTTTAGCTTCAACAGTTATTTAATCGTTTTAATCACTGATGGTTTTCCAATAGGGCTGTCCCAAATACCATTTTCCGGGCTCCGGATATTGGTAGTAATCAGCAGCGAATATTCGGCCCGCGCGCGGGGGGTTCCAGCAGCGATGACCTTTCCTTTAGTTATTCTACAGTATTGTTGTTTTATAGTTATTTGTTAATGTATACAACCCAATTTGTGTTCTTTGAAATTCAAAAGGATATCTTATTGTGTTTGTTTTGTTTTTTCGTTGCAGTTGTATATGTCTTAAGTGTAATTTGGCATGGCTTCCTATTTTGTATGCTTTTATTTTGAAGGAGAGGTAGCGCTGTTGACAGGAAGTTGTTGTTGCTATGGAAACAACATGACGGAGATTAACGGAGAAAAAGTAATATCTACATATAAAGACGGAGAAAGTAAACAATAACGTTTATGGTTACGTGTTAGCACCTCCCGAAGAGGCACAAGCTCTTATTTTAAATTAAAATAAAAACGAAAATCTGAATAACGAAATTGAAACCGAAATAGTACTCCAACGAACGAGTATTCGGATATTCGGGTACAGCCCTATTTTCCATGCTAAAGAACAGCATTTATTAACTCCATGTGTACTTTACATCTCCATCATTTTCCTTTTTTAGTTTCAACTTTTGACTTCTGCATCTGCTCTACGTTCTCAGAAACGATGCTCTCTCTTGGGAAAGTTTGATCGCTAAATATCCCGTTTTGTTGAATAATTAAAAGAGTTATATATAATCTAGCTGGCAGCCATTTTTAACAAAACAAAAGAGCGGCTCTATCAGAAAACACCTAAATAAATGTAATAACTTCCCACCTCTGGAGAAGATGGTACAAGCAATACTATATTCTGTCAAAAAAAACATTGTCAAAACTCATATAAAAGAATAAACAACTAAGATTGTCTTTACTTTGTGTACTCTTAATATATCTTAAAGGTCCCATGTCATGCTTTTCCGGTTATTACCCGTCCCCTTGTGTGTTATGAAGGTGTTTCTGCATGTAAACGGTCTGAAGAGTCAAAACCCTCAAAGTACACCCTGTAGCGAGTAAAACTCTAACACAGAAAATACCTCCCCAAAACGCCTCGTTGGAGATACGTCACTGTCCATTGTTTACTTCCTGGGTATCGTGACGTAGGAATGGCCAGTAGCCGCGCCCAGAGCTATGACGCGATACGGTCATACGGTACCCGGAACCAAATGGACCAATCCGTGGAGCCGTTACGTTACGTCCGCGGAGCCGTTACGTTAAGCGCCCGCTGATTGGTCCAAATTGACCAATCCACGGACTTCCTCACACACACACTCAGTGCATGCAGCTCTGCTGATCTCTCCTCCCTGGCTGCAGGCTGATAACAGACAGTTGGGATCGCGGCGAAATTCTCTCTGCAGACCCATTCTCACAGCGTTTATCAACCTTTTTCTTACTCAATATCAAGCCACACTTATTGTTTTTACTTCGGCTGTGACTTTGTGTGTGCTCAGGGTGAGTTTGGCTGTGTTTCGCTAAAAAACAAGGAAACCACACCTCCACGGAGCTCAGCGCGATTCACAACGTCCCGACCAATCAGAGCACACTGCGTTTGTTTTCCAATGTGAGTTCGGAAAATTGCACAATATAAATCTATTCTAGTAGACCTCAACAATGGAATTATGATCAGTGGAAATGGCCATGAAATGGGACCTTCAACCACACATTAAATGGTTAAAAACTGTCTCCACGGCATCTTTTGCACGATCTCTGTCTCTTTTAGTGGATTTTTCAGACCCTTTTTAACAAAACAAAAGACTTGACTAACATAAAGTACTGGAGTAAATGTACTCAGTGACCCTCCACCTCTGGAGGAGACGGTGCGTGGCTGCCCTTTTCCTCTCGTTCCCACCTCCTCTGCCAAACCCTTCTATATTTACAAGTCTATTTCCAGACTGACACCAGTTTATGGGCCGGTCCGAGGCACGCTGGTAACAGGACCCCCCTTTCTGCTCGGAGGGCTCTCTCTCTCTCTCTCTCTCTCTCTCTCTCTCTCAAATAGCCTCATATATTCACCCACAGATGTTAGAGTTATTAACCATCATGCATGCACACAAGGCCATTTACTTTCTGACCGTCACAGGAAAATACCACAGTTTTCCGCAGAGGTTTTGGTGTCAAAGGTGTCAAAAGTACTCGGGTCCGGTAGTTAAAAAGTAGAAATACGAGAGTGTAGGAATACTGTGTTACAAGTACTGCATTCGTGAGGTGACTCGAGGTTTATATTTCAGTTGCATTGTGTAATCAATTCTCTTTTGCTCAAGTCTTTCCACTATTTCTGCCACCACATGCTAAACATTTC